TGCACTTTCGAGCTTATCTAAATTGTCTGTTCACCAAGTTGATTGAATTCTCAGTGTCAATTTGCTGCCGTAGACAAAGAGGCGGTGTGTGATCATCATCCGTCCCAGTGCGTTAGAGCAACTAAATTGGGGTGTAATAAGCCAAGTAAACAAATTGGCTGTTGCGGATGACGACTGAAAGTAAGAGAGTAAGAGTAACAAGCCTTCTAGGACTTTGTGTTGGCTGTAGTGTTTAACAAAAAAACTCTGACACATGTCATCAGTGTCTGCTTTTAAATCTTTATTAAAGACTCATTCATATTATACGCTTTTTGTTTGTTCTTTAAAAAATAATTTTTTTGACATTCTTTGGTTAACTACATTCAGTTCTTTTAGATTTTTATGTTAATTTTAAGTTGTTCATAACTATAATAATCACATTGTATCTTATTTTGACATTCCACGTGTCTTTATTAGCCTTTTTTTTTAACTGATTTGCTGGTTTTGATAAGTACTATACAATAAACCTTATCAGTTTTAAAATTACATTAATATTTTAAGTATCTTGTGAACATGAAGTTAATAAGGTGCAGAGTCCAATATAATCCAATGCAAAACTATATTTCCCATTCAGGAAGTGTTTGTACATAAAATAAACTGACAATAAAACACATCACAGAGACTTTTGCTCATTTTCAGTTAAGTTTGTAAATATAGTCACCAAGGTTTGGAAAAGAGTTTAATACAGCAGACTAAAACTGTCTCAGTAGCAAAAAGTGAACACACAAACACACCAAAATATAGATTTTATGACTCTAATAGTGATTTTTTAAAACTGAAATTTAAACTTTAGTTTAGCTGTTATGGTCTGTTTCTTCACATCTTCAAAGCAGGTCACATTTTTACAATATCCTTTGACTGTATTCACACAGACTTTGACACTAAACGTTTTTCCTGGGACGTGTGTCCTGTGCAAACTGTCTTTCGAGATCTGTGCACATGGTTTGAATAATTTTGAGAGAAGAAATCTCCTACAAGACTCATGTGCGTGCACATCTATTTTCTGAAGGCTTGAAAGCATTTTAGATCTTGGTATGACAACAGCACACCCTGTGTCAGAGGTTTAAATTCCAACAGTCACTCTTTGAGATAAGGTTTTATATTGGCGCCCAAAGTTGGAACCCTCTGATATAATTTTATGGATTTGTTGATTTGCTTAGTTTGTCTCAATGACAATCTCCGTTATATTTTATGTCACTGATGAAAATGATTAAAAAATGGTACAAATTTTATCTACACGTTCTTTCTCAGTGGATCAAGTGTTAGCTAAAGTGGTTTTCCTTTATGCCAAAAAATCTCACCAGTAAGTTTCAGTAATTAATGACATATATTTACACAGTCTATGTATCCACTGTAACAATGTTATACTTCATTATGGGCAAATGAATGTCAAAGGTAAAACTGAAGTCATTTTTAGATCTTATCCAGTATATCTACTTCAAGATTTAATATTCTATATTTGTGAAAAAACATCACAGCACCAAATAAACAGAGTAACAAACATAGGGACAGAGTGCCTTTTCTGCTGATCCTCACAACTGCACCCAGACGGCAACGTGTAACATGACACAGCAGTTAGAGGGCAGTGAACAAGAATTTTTATTGGATTTTGAGTATATAATTGGTTATTTCATGGCCCCATTGATTGATTGTGGCATTATTTACTTCATCTTCTCTGTGACAGTGTTTGATTGGCTTTCTTCAGGGACTGCAGGTCATTC